TGCGTGCATATGGAATATCCCACAACTTCTCGTTACTATCCAAATTTCCGAACTATCTCCTTTCCCTTTCTACCAAGTCAACTACAGCCTGCCCCTCTCCATCACCAATCCATCCTTCTTGCGGTCTACTCATACGAAGAGTAAAAACCATCATCACTCCGACCCCCCAATGAACTCAATAAAGTATCCATATTCCCATAACAGAAAAGTCCCTCCTTGGCACACTCGTCTGTGTAATAGTAGAAGCAGTTTATGCTACCGACACAGCAGCAATTAACTCGCCGACGAGATCACCTCAGGATCGAGAACGGATCAAGGGAATTGAATCCACTCGAACTGCTTCGCTCCGTCGTCGACTTCTGACTCGTAATCCCGCCAGGCCTCCCCGGTGTTGCTGCATCTGACATATTTCATATCGCTCAATGCAACACCTTCAACAGGACTATCATTCCTCCACTAAAGTCACAAGGTCAGCATACCCCACCTCCCCCTACTACTACTTCCGCTCAATGATGACGACCAGTTACCCCCTAACTGTGCTCGGCTATTGGCATTTACTACAGGTGCTTGGACCGAACCGTTGGAAGATGATAAACCAACAACACCTGAGAATTATTAACTCCTATCCAGATGAACTACAAAGATGCAGTACCTCCAGAGTTCACTTTATATGATGACGACGTTGAGGAGGACGGAGTTGGGGTTTGGTAATACAAGCTGGATATGTTGAACTCGTTCTTATGCGCCAATTCTAACACCATACCACACCTTTCCCACATCCCACAAACATCCCCATTACGGCTGACTGTCTTCATCGAACTAGCCGAGCTCTGCTGAGTCGGCTTCGCAAAGGGATCAAAGAGATCATCATCCAGCCCGTCACCAAACAACATACTCGTCTTCGTCTTTACCTCCTTCTTAGTTGGATTCAAATCTCCACTCATAAGATCGCCAAAATCCTACATCAATAAGCAAGTCGCTCAGCAACAATAATATAACTTCCGGAGGAGGAGGGGCACACAAGGCGACGATGGAGCGCTGGTAGCGCGCCCTATGCATGAACACTACTAGGAGGGAAATGAATGAGGGTTGTAGCACGCGAGAAATTCTGCAAAATATCAGTCCATGAGATACCACTCCAATCTGAACTATTTCGTACACCACCACAATGGAGTTAACATACCTCTACAACTTACCCCAAAATTATCATCGATTAGACATCCACTTTTGGGATTATTAAAACTATTCCCAGAGGAAGTAACAGGGAAATCTGTGAGGTCCAGAAGGTCTTCCATACCCACCGTACTGGACTCCGTGCTTTCGGGCTCTCTAAAGAACAAGTGAATCTCAACATACACTACAATCACTACTACTTGTGTTTCTTATGTTGTTCCTTTTTCTGTGAAGACCGTGATGGTTTGGGAACTTGCTCAGCTCTATCCGCCTTGGGTCCATGCTTAGATGATGTTGTATTATATACGTCTGCATCTCTACCTTGTAACACAAGTTCACCTAAGATACAAGTAACTATAACTATCGAATTAAATCGTTACATCTTCCCATAAGGGAGAAGTGGATTCGAGAGCCACACTGTTTGCTCCAGCATGAGGTGATATATGCACATGGTCATCAACTACATGTGTGGGCGACAATATGAAAATTATGAAGAAATTTGATGTTATTCGTTTTAGTTTCTGTACACTGCAACCCTAGATCGTATATAAACTCCTATAATCAGCGAGGAAACTCCCGAGCTCAGTTGAGGAAAGCGAATATCTATTCCTACTCCAACAGCGGTTGCCTTTTGAACATACCAACACGACTCCTTGCCCCTATTATACTACATGGTGGTGGAGGATTCCCCTTGGGTACGTACTCTAGCCGTTCGTACTTCGCTCTGATGAACCTCTCTACTGCTGCTACACCTGAATAAATACCAACATATCCTCTTACGCACAGCGAAGATTTCCTCCTCTTCCTTTTTATACCATCTTGCACTGTAGGCCTCTTGAAATCCTTAGGAAGGTTGTGCTCGTAGTAATTGTTGGCGATTCTATTGCCAACATTAGCAACAACGTGAATCCATCTAAAGAGCGATATAACCGAAAACCGTCGAAAATGTACATTTACTTTGTTTGCCACTTATCGAGTGTAACACTTCTAACCATAGATATATGTACGCCGAGATTCCTGTGTATACCACTACAGTCAATGCATATAAACACGCCAAGGTTAACACTCGCCCATCGAGGGCTCTTGGCACCACAATCTGAGGAGGCAGGACTTCATACCACTCCTTTCTGAACTCATCTCTATTACCCGCACAGAATCGGTTCTCAGGCTTAGCCAGCAAGGCGTCGAGCTCAGCATTACCGCCGGACTGGTGTCCTCTACGAGTGCCCATCAGAAATCAATACTACGATAATATCAATCAGGATACAGTAGGAAAAATACCAGAAAAATGCCGGCACCAGGGATCGAACCTGCGACCTAATTGTATACGTACAAAACCTACTCCTGCTTGCCTTGTTTCTTCCGAGGGTCGGTATCAATTCAACGAGAAGGAATTCTGACACTGCGAAGTATTTTCTTCACGTCCCCACGCAATGATCTTGACGCACACAAAAGATTTCCTTATGGTATATTCATGATTGTACTGTCCTATCATTTATTTGCCTTTGAAAAATTGTAGCTGTGCCGGTAACATAAATCCGAGCTATGCTCCTCCTCCTCCTCCAAGTACTCCAACCCAACTTCTCTTTTCCTTAGAGTTCAACTAAATAATAAATATTATATCACTAGTTGGTTATCCTAATAGTAATATAGTTTTCATAAACTCATGTGAAGAATGATAATTAATAAACAATATTGGAGTTTCACCCACTTAACGTGAAGTGGTATAAAACTCCATGTAAACCATAGAACGTATATGTTTCCGCAGCCGATAATACACTTGTCCTCTACGAAATGTGAAATATGTGTTTTTCTTATCACCAGGTGATATATAAAATGTCATACTCATTATTACTAGTAGTAGATCTTACGTTAATCAGCTGCTTTGTAAATAGATAATCTATCTAACATAGATACATCGTTAGTAATAATACTAGTATATATTACCACAACATTTGGAAAAAAAATATGACGATTGGTGAAATTATATAATTATTTATTAAAATATGATGATAGTTGGTGTGTTTTCTAGTATCTTATCAATTGTTTTGTCTAAAGCCTTACCGCTTATATTACAACCAAAACCTGCTCTGGTCATGGCAAATGTGTCTTCACCTGCTTTCATGTGCGGGAAACGTACGCATTGATAGTATTGTTGTTCTTCTTTTACCCGTATCATCATATACGCATGCTTTATGTCTATTGCTAGTGTTTGGTTCAAGTCTAGAGTGCGCCATATACGAATCATTCGTTGGCAATTCAACGGTTCGCCATTGGAGTTTGGCATGCTCTCTATTCGAGAGTTTAAACCCTTATAGTCTAGTACAACTCTAACTGG